AATTCAAAATATAACAAAAGTTTTAGAATCTCGGTCTTTATATTTGTGACTTTAAAAAAATATTGATCGCAAAAAATATTCTTTAATTGCATAATCAATCAATTACTCTTAATTTTTCGAAAATTAATGTGTTTATCTTTTATTAATATGCATAAAGTAAAAATAATCAATTCATCTATAGATATATAATTTATAATCTTAATATACTATCATTTGATGTAGATATTTATTATATGAATCATAAAATATTTTTATTTTATAAAATTAAATATATTTAAATAAAATAAGAAAATTTCTTCCGATCAATCGGGTGATTGAATTAGGGTACTGCACAGGTTGATTGAATTACTTTTAGGTGATATTTAAAATAGTCAAAAAATTTTGACACAATTTGGTTGATTCTAGGGGACTAAGTTATGTATCAGTTCGACCACACCAATTGATTATTGAACCTAAATATAAATTTTATATTGAAAATATTTTATTACGTGAATGTGATGTAGTCCAAACTTCAAATAATCGTATTAACAATACTTTTATGACAACATCTTTAATGATTTATGAATATTTATATATCATTTTATTAATATTTATGTGAATTATATAATATTTTATTATAATAATTATTAATGTACAATAAATATAAGGTGTTCAGAACTGGACCGTCGTCGAAACGATCAAGCTATTTTATTAATTTATTTGTGGTTTGTTCAGATTTTAATTTATAAATATTTAAATATATATATATATATAGTACTTTTTGTAATAAATTTAAATAAAATGTGTTACTTAGATATCTAAATAATTTATAAATTCAAATGTTTAAACTAATTGATAAATAATTTATAAATCTCTAATTTATTTAAATATGTTATTTTATTTAAAATAATTTTAAATATAAAAAATTTTATTTAGAAAATCGTATCGATCCTATCAGTCCAACCGACTGGTGTTGACGGATTCGAGAGCAAATATTTATTCAAGCGAACTAGACTGATTATAAACTGATTCTCGATCCATCCAGTCGGACTGTGTCCAACTCGGTTTAATTTAAGATAAATCATGATTAATGTTATTTATATATTTAATTTATAATATAATCGTAATATTGTTTTCTCGTGCGTCGCACGGGCCACAAACTAGTAGTATTAAATACGATTAGTTTTTTTCCTTTTTAAATCAAAATACGAGATATTTGGACGATTTTGCATTTTTTTTTTCTTTTTTTTGTTTAAATGACACAATTAGGTAGACAGAGTAAAATCAAATATGGGTCTCATTGTAGCTGAATACGAAGGTAAATCAGCTAGACGTATTGAAATGTAAATACATCATACATGCCTAATTACGCGTTAATTATACTGAAATTTTATTCTGCTACATGCAGATTCTGAAGAGATTGTTGACTTTTGACTTCCTTTATTTTTTTCTGTAATTTGCTACCACGAAGTGGGAAAATTTTACACCGAATTAAGGAAGAATTTCATTTGATCCCTGGAAAGATAATTATTCTTTTTCTCGTTTTGAATCGCTATTGCGTGCACATAATGTAAACGAATTTCCGTACACCAACATTTCCCCTGCCTCGGTTTGACCTTGTAGAATCTTTATTAACTAATGTAAAACAGGTTAAGCAAATTAATACTCTATCGCACGTCAAATTTGTATAAATAAATAATAATATATGTGAGATATGAATTAACATAAAAGTGACAAGTGGTGACTAAAAGTACATTATATTTACTACATTTTAATATTATATTAATAATATTAAAAAGAGTTAAATTGGATTAGCTCAAGATTGACTTTTGAGTTTAAAAATTTGTATTAAATCATAGTTCTGTTAAAATAAAAAATAAAAAATTATTCAATGAGTCAAAATAAAATAAAATAAACGATATATCTCCAATAGCTGGTGTTTGACAAATAATTAGCTGCTTAATTTGTAAGAGTATCTCAAGTTGTAATCCATCATTCCAAAAACTTATTGTATTGAGCTACTAGTGTTATAAGACTTTTCTGTAGTTGAAATGTTTTTAACCGTAAACACTGTACATGTTTAACAAACCTTAATAGTTTTGGATTTTTTTTTTTTTTTTTA